GGTGGGAGCGCTGCCGCGCTCCCAAGCAGCGCACTGTAGCAGTGCGCCACCGGGCCGGCCCTACATGAGCCTTTTTAAAGCAGAGGATTTTCTCCAGCTGGTGGCAAAAGAGGATGACAGAGTTTGGAAGCAGTAGAGACCCTCTGCTGATGGCCCTGAAGGAATGGCTACCCTGCTGTAGAGAGGGCCGAGTAGAGGCAACAAGCAGGGAGCCTCCAGGAATGGCCTCTGGTCAACAGCCAGCAAGAACACAGGGAGCTCAGGCCTCCCACTGCAAGGAACTGAATCCTGCCAAGCACAGAAACATGCATGGAAGGGACCTCTGAGTTCTGGATGGGAGCACAGTCTGGCTAGTCAGTGCATGAGACACTGAATGGAGAACCCATCACCCCTGCCAGCCTCCAGATCCACAGAAACCAAAAGATAGTCATGTTACTTTAAGCTGCTGAGTTTGTGATAACTTGTTACACAGCAATAGAAAACTAGTACACAATTTATTCTTTGGTGAGTGTCTTAGGTTAGGCCCCAGAAGCAGACGCTGAGATGAGGATTTAAGTGGGAGTTAAGGGTAGTCTCCATCCTGGAAAGCACCGGAAGGGACGTGGGAAATGGAGCCAGGAAAGGGAAGGAAGCCAACAGCCTGCGTCAGCAGGTTACTACTGTAAGCAGCCATAAGCCAACCCAGGGGGATCTGTAGGAGACCAGGGAGGACAAAGCTGGGAGCTGTCCCACTCAAGGGGCAGGGAAGCTGGGCTATTCAGCCTCCAACCCACATTGCATGGTGCCTCCTTCCAAAGGCTCCACAAGGAGCCCTCAGGCAGGTCACGGCTGTTTGCAGAAGCAAGTCTAGGAAAAGCCAAAGCCAAAGGCATGGAGGTGGGTGTAGCTGTGTCCACTATAAAAGTGAGTGTTAAAAAGTTCCTCCACATCTACTGACATGTGGCCTTCAGCCACGGTCCTGGCGTGGCCCCTAAGCTGCTCACGTCTGTCTTCTCTCTGCAACCTTTACACACCAGCAGTTTTCATGCAGCCTGGGTGCTCTCTTGACCAGCTAAATATTTCCAGTTCCTTCCCAAACCCTCAATGCAACAGCATTTTCAATCCTTCATAAAGTAGGGAGACACTGGATTCAAAAATGAATGAAAAGGCCAAAGAAGTTCTCACTGCCTAGTCTGGTCCTTGTGTGAAGGCTGTAATGATGCAGGTCTGACTTCACCAGTGCTGGGCAGCCTCATCACACGGCAATTCATCGAAGCTGTCCTGGGCCTTGGTACAGCTGCTAAGAAGCACCTCCTCTCTCAGCCCTTCTGCTGTTAGTATTGCGATTCTAGAGCATGGCATGTCATCTGCTGCATGAGCTCGGGCACGGTGAGCACGCGGTACTGCTGGCTGCCATGGCCGGTGAGGGGCACGAAGAAATGCAGACACGGGAAGGGCACCATGTTCACAGCCAGCTTGCGCAGGTCGGCGTTCAGCTGGCCTGGGAAGCGCAGGCATATGGTGACCCCGCTCATGGTGGCCGACAGCAGGTGGTTGAGGTCCCCGTAGGTGGGCGTGGTCAGCTTCAGGGTGCAGAAGCAGATGTCGTACAGGGCCTCGTTGTCGATGGAGTAGGTCTCGTCCGTGTTCTCCACC